TATCTAAGAATGCAAAAAAGAAAGAAAAGAATTAATATTTAAAAAAAAAAGAAAATAAGTGAGGCATAGGTAACATATTTTACAATTTTAAAGCTAATTTTAAAAAACATTTTTCTTTAAATTATTTCATTTTATGAAAATCACATGCAGAGTAAAGGCCATAGTTTTTTCAAAATGTTACTTGCTTCTTTTTATACTTAATAATATGCACTCTAACTGGTAAAAAGTGATCATTAAATGTCATTAAAATCGATAACTATTGATTTCTTATTAGAGAAAAATACACATAGGTAGCATTGTATTACATGCTATCTCTTTTAATTAGATGATTTATTCTATATAATCACTTCTTTGTTACAAAAAGGACTTTCAGGTGACAAAGTATGAATATCTACAATCTGAAAAGTTATTAATTTGCAATGTGAAATGTGTATCTCTAAAACTACTGTGATCCTCATCAGAGCTAAATGTGATAGCCAAAGAAATATTAATGAAGAAGGACAGAAAACCAGAAAAGCATGTGCACATGGGCACACTCTGGCACTCACTGATTGGACCTCTTGAAAACTGCTCTCCTTCGACTTTCTTATTTCAGGTTAAGTACAGGGAGAAATGCTGCAGCTAGGGACCAAGCCTTCTACGCATACAGTAGAAAGACTCTCACAATTATTCAAGTGATCTGCCAATTTGAAACTCCTCTAGAGGATTTCGTAGTTCTTCTCACATCACAGGAAACCCAAACCAGCCAGAAGCCAGCCTAATGTGCTACATGTGGTCCTTGGAAACTGCAAGGGACATTCTCTGTTGAGACCCTGCTAGGCGATCAGCCCTCAGTTTTCAGGAAGGTAGACCACTGCCCTGGAAGACAAGTTCAATTTTCTTTACCTATCCTAGGTAAAAATCTGTCCAGACTTTATTGCTCTTACTTAATATACTAAATTTATAAACCACCATTTTCTGGGAATTTGCACAAATAACATTAAGTGATAATTATAAAGAAATAGATAGTGAAGAAGGTAGCTTGAAGATATTTTGTTTCAATGCCTCAATTCAGAAATGTATCTTTGGCCTGGGCTTGTGGTATGGCTCAGTGGTTGAGTGCTTGTCTGGCATGTGTAAGGGCATGGGTTCAATTCCCAGTACCATAGGGGAAAAAAAAAAAAAGAAAAGAGACAATGAAATTTATCTTCTCTGAGTGAATAGTAAACTTATAGGCCAAAAATAATTAAAAATTAGAAAAATATCTGTTTCTCTTTTTATCTACATTCAGTTTCTAATATAACCACTTTTTCTTCTTCCCAAGGAGCATACAAAAATTGGCTAAAAACTGTATTTTACCAAAAACTGCAAATACCTAGCAATAAAAATACCTTAGAAAGTAAACTTTGAAAATAAGTCTGTATTTTCCATTTCGTGTTCTCTGGAAATCTTCATAAAAGCAATAACACATTTTTTGAAGTATTTTTTTAAAAAGACACTCTTTCCTGAAAATAAAATTAAATGGAAACATGTACTATACTGTTTGAGACAGTTCATGAACTGCAATCTTGCTACTTATTTTAAAGATTGATATGAGTACACGCATAACTTGTAAACTCTTATAAAACAGTGTGATTTCTATCACTTTATTTAGCTACCATCATTTCCTGAAAACATTTAAAAACTATTGTATTTTTGAATAGCTATGTTTAAAATGCATATCTGAATAAATGTAACTCTGAACAATTGTGTACTGTGTTAGGAAGACCTTAGTTGGCCTTGGGAAGTTGTTATTAGCCTTTCCTGTGGCTAATAGTTTAACTTAATGCATTCTTAATGTTGGGTGCAGAGACCTTGGCAGTGTGATTATCAAAGCAAACACGCCAAAAATACCAGTTTAAATCCATCAGCTTGGTAAAGAAGATTCAATTTTAAAGGTTGTCTTGGTTCATAAACACTGAGATGCAATCAAGGGTAATTTCCAAAAAAGTATTCATTCAATTTTATGAACTACTCTGCTTATGAACCAACCGTTCATGAGCTCTAGCAATTCAGTTTGATGTTCAGAAGCATGTCATTTGTGAAATATTTTGATAAATGATGCATTGAAAAAGAAAGAACAGAACTCTGTGAAGGATCAGCACATAAGGCCAGCTAGAATATTTCTGTAGAAAATCATGTGTATGAAAAGATGAAAACTACATTTAATATATTTTCTTATAAAATTGTCCTATGTACATTATATGATTGCTCTATATCTCCATGGTAACAATAGCATATTTTTTCTATGCCTCCAACAAGAAGAAAATAAGTGTACTTAAGTATTTGTAACTGTACAACTTAAAGTGTCAATAATTTTTTTAATACTTAATTTCACTTTTCTGAAGTATTTTTAATACCAGTATATCAGAGGAGCGCACATATATAATTGGAAGAAGAAGAGCAACAATTGCATCTATAGATTAGCTAGGGCTAAATTATTTTATATTCATAGATTTGTAATTAATTTCAAAATGAGGAAATTCTTCTTTGCTCAAATCATGGCACTTATTAGAGAATTAGTGAAGAACAAGACTGTAAACTGATAAAATATGCTCTGATGATATCAATAATAAAAAACAATAATCATTAAAATGCTGTAACAAAAATGGTATTTAAAATATTGTAATTTGTATTATGCTGATATTTATATTCAGTATTGTCAACTTTTACAAAGCATAAAGATGTAAGTTATGAATTTTCCGTAGGTTCTTATAGGAAATCTTTGACACAATAAGAAACAAAACTCAAACAAGTAAAACAGAAATACTAAAGGGAACAGACATGTGCATACATGTTATTATTTCAGATTTACAAAAAGGCGATTCCTCATTTGATGACTCACTATTCTTATTGATTCTCAATTTTTCAACTGAAAAAGGAGGAAAACAACTTTTCCCATGGGTTTACTCTGAAGATTAAATAAAATATAAAATGATCAGCATACCATCTTAGAGATTCTTGTTCATATTATAGATATTACTTGTATCACTGTTAATGGATGATTTATTTTTTGTTGTGAAGTCTTTTTGTATTAAAAAATCACATTTTATTGCTTTATTAATATTCAGGAAGCATATATATATATATATATATATATATATATATATTTGATGTTTACAAATATCTGTAAACATCACTGCCACATAACTTTTATTATTTATTTATTATTGATTTTTATTTTCAGGGGTTAAAACTTCTTAATCCCTTATCTCATTGAAGAATACATTCATATTACCCATGGAAATATAACGTATCTGTAAGGACTTTCCGTTTCTTGTGTTGCAACGAAGAGACTGTTCACTTCAGAGAAGGAGAGGGGTACATTGCACAAATTAGCTTAGCCCTCTGTCTTACTATTAGAGGCACTGTCTTCTTTATTTCGCTGGTTACTCCTGGTTCAACTGTGCTTTACATTCAAAAGGTTAAATGGTAGTTAATGGAGCTGATGACTTCTCTCTGTGAGGTCAGGTGGTTGTGAACTGAGCAGGGAGAAATGGAGGAGGAAAGATCAAAGAGGAATTGAATTTGGGGAGCTGACTCAGCCTCCTTCCAGGAGATTTCCTGGAAATTATCTCAAAGTGTTTGTTCTATAATTCTGGAGTCATTTATTGTATTAAAAGAAGAGTGAAAAAAAAACAATATTTTTGCTCAGTCATACACGGACAAGTCATGCAATGTCAGGTGTTTGTTATTAAGAAAAAAAGCAAAAATGAATTGCCATTAGACAGCTAGATAGTCTGTCAAGCACAGGAGAAATGACAGAGAGGCCTGTTTCATAGAAGCAATGTCTGTCAAATACAGATAATTTTTTCTATAGAAAAGATTCAGACTATTCTGCTCAGCAGAATTTCACAAAAAAATTGCCATATACCTTACACACTAGGTCTGATTTAAAGGGGTCAGACTGTACATCTATGAATCTGTATATAAGAAAGGCTGTTGCAAGGTATGATATTATTAAGTGACTCATCATTTTAAAAAGTGTGTTTTCTGCAGGCATATCTTAAGTTTTACTCTATGAGGTTTTGATTTATGAATTATATAAAACTCACATGTTTCATAGAATTACGCTTCATACCACCTACAGAGAGCTCATACAATTTCCTCACGTATTCTGTTTAACCACTACTTCAACTGATAGCCTATATCAAAGTGATGAAAGAATTTCCTAACACATTTTGTCATCATTTGTCCTATTCTATGCAGTTTGATCATCTAGTGGCTTGCTAATCTTAAAACATTTGGAATTTGAAAAACTCTACCCCACCTAGAGTATTTTTGCTGTTATTAATTTAAGTCAAATCCTCTACATCAGTGTACTTACTCAGGTACTCCTTGTTTACTCCTTCGTGCTCTCTCCATACTTTACTCTCTCTGCTGGAACAAAACACTCAACACCCAAAATGAAGGAAGGAAAGATTTATCTAACTCATTGTTTGTGATGTTTTCAGTCCATAACCAGCTGGCTCCAAGACAGAATGGCATGGCACCAGGACAACACCTCAAAGCAGCAGGCAGAGCAAAAGAGAGAAAGCAAGCCTCTTCTCCTACCTTATATTATACATAGGACACCACCTCCCTCTGCAGAGCTGGTGTAGCACTCATAAAATCTCTGTGCTTCCTCTTGCACATGAAGAGAGTATTTACAAAGTAAGGAGGATCCTGGCTCCTTGCTGAGTCTCTCAGTTAAACGTCTAAACTTCTGAAGTTGACACAGTGAATCAACCTTAATATTTGCATACTGAAAGTTCCCAACAATAATTTTTTCACTGATCTATCACCAATTTTATTTCATCTTTACAGTAAATATGACTGCCATGGTTTATATCTGTGGCCCCCAGCGCCCCATGAGTTTGCATTGTGCATTTCTGATGGTTAATTGTCTAGTGCTTGGATTGATGGTGTCAGTGCTCCTCCCAGATAAGGTGGGGCCTGGATGTGAAGTACTGGCAGGAAGAAGGTGTGTCTTGCTCTTTGCTGGTTTCTGCTTGCTGTTTACAGCCACCATGAACTGCAGCCCAGCCAGGTCCACCTGTCTTGGAGCCCAATGAGCATAGACTGAAACCTGCAAAAACTGTAAGAAATAAACCTTTCCTTTCCCAACTTTGGGCTTCAGGTATTTTGTCTCAGAGATGAGTAAAAAGTAACTAAGATAATGACAATTACAGTAACTGATTTGTTAAGAGCTGCTGTACTTGTTACTGGAAAAGGAAAATTGTCCTTTACTTCCTGTATAGCAAATTTTGACTTGTAAACATTTCAGTTGTGAACATTCAAAACTATGAATGGATTTTGTAAAATAAACGTTCATAGATTTGAACAAATCACAGAAGTTGCTATTATGTTTTTGGTAACTATAAATATAATAACAGCTTATTTAGAGTATTTGTGTGTGTGTTTCTTTTTAATTTTTTGCATCTTATATTTCTGTCAAAGGTGTATAAGATTCAGTTTGTTGGAATTATGAATGAATCTAACTTAAGAACTTCCTCCTGGAAGGTAAGTCATTCATAAATCTGGGACTTACAGTATTCTAAGAATGAGAACAAATAAAAGTATGAGAACAAAGCTTAACATTTTTTTCTCCAGCTCAGATCTTCATTCACTCATGTATTAGTGACTCACATAGAAAATTACAGTCACACTGTGTGTCTGGTAGAATTTGTCTTGACAACACACAGTTTATTTAAAGAAGCTAGTGAGGCTGGTGTGATTCAGGTGTATAGTACAAACAGAATACAAATGTGAGGAAAATATTAGTGAATAATAATTTATAACTCATCTGGAATGTTCACTTCTTAAACTTTTAAATCTTGTTTTGCAAACATACTACGTTTTCTTGTGTAATCTACATTCACATTCTGCTTTTTAATTCTCAGTTCTATTAGTTCCTGGAGAAGATTCCTTGTGTAAGATTACATCATGCAATTCTATTCCATACAGAAGACTGAATAAAGATACCTCCTTAGTTGCTAGATGTGTCAGTTCCTCTGCCTTTCATATTAATGAATCTTTCTTAGGTAGAGAAATATGGCTGGCTCAACTCCTCTGCTGATGCAGTGTTCCACATCTTGGTCACAAGAAGTCATTGCTAGAAGAGTGCCCAATTGCTCCTTTTGACTACTACTCTATAAAGAATAATTAATAGTTTTCATTAATATGCTCAGTTTTGTTCTTTGATATCTAATTGTTTGCATTGTTGTACTTTTTTACTTAAAGCTGATATATAGGAAATTGTGTTTAGTGTGTGTGCCTGAATGTACTCTGTAAGAGTAACTAATATATCTTTAAAGGAAATTCTTTCACTGAGTCCCCATTCCCACATTTATTCAGATACTAGTTCTCTCTGATTAAATAGTGGTACCCGTTGCATTGAAAAAAATATTTCACACCAGGAAGATCTAGTTGAGGCCAAAGTAGTTCACACCTGCAAAACTCAGAATTTATATCTGACTGGTCGGGATCCACGTCAACATTGTTATTTCCTGCTGATTCAAGTCACAAAATCAGCATGATCAGGCATCCAGCAATTCTGATTTATACTTTCTACTTCCTTGATGATGTGGATGCTAAGTTGAGAATTTCTAGACCTGATGGCTGCTACAGTAATGTTGCCAGGAAGAAAAAAAATCAAGATTAAGAACCAAAATGAGCATATGGTATAGACTCAGCGGTCTTTGGAAGCCATGAGTGGTAATGAGAAACAAAATCACTACTTTTGCTGAGTTGAGAGAGTAGAGACTACATAACAAGCAACTACAGGTAATCATACCATTCACCAACAAAGTTCCAAGTGGTTCTGAAAATGCTATTCACAGGGTTCTGTGCCACTCAAACCACGGACCATCAAGAAAAATCCAAAATTTAGGGGATTCTTGTATGTTGGACTGCAAAGAACCCCGTAATGTGTTTTAAATAAAATTCACAGCTGACTGTCTTTTCACCTGTGGCAAGTCCAGACAAAGACTATCCACATTTACACTGTGTCCTAAATGACTAGCTAACTAGTTTGTGCTTTCTGTTCAATCCAGGCTCTTTGTGTTCAAAATGTCTGCTCCTTGAACCAAAAAATGCTCATACAGAATCTCCACTCCCCCAGGCTCCTGAACACCTCTCCATTTCTAATAATTGCATTGTTGAACAATCCCTTTTTAATGTCTTCTCTCAGGATTTGACTCAGTTATCTCATGCAAAATTACTTCCTCATCAACTCTTCTGTTAGCTGGTTTCTTTCCTTGTTTACTCCTTCCAAGAAACCTTGCTTTGGTAGTTGATATACTTACACATGCCCTGGTTAGAAGATCTTTATATTGCAAAGATCCCCCTTTTCCCATTGCAAAAGTAACCCTGCTTCACAACAGTATCTCCCACTCTATTGCAATAATTCTTTTGAATATAGTTTTGTTGATGCTAGGATTTGATAACATTTAGGGGTATATAAGCAAAGATTATGAAAGATGTCCTTTCTGTAGTGTCTAGAACTCATACAAACCTTTGCCTTACATTATAAATGTCAGTTTTTAGAGAAGCAAGGAGAAAATAGAACATTAAGACCGAATTATTACCCAAAATACATTGATTTCAATTTCAAGATCTCCTTGAAATTATTAAATCAGACCTAACTTTAAATTGATTTTTGCTAAAATTATTTTCTCATTATTCCTTCTGTACCCAGAAGGTTTGTGTCAGAAATGTCCATCAAAAATGAAATATATATATATATTTTTTTTTCTCTCAAAATTAATTTTAATGTCAGCCAAACCATGAACCAGTTACATGTACAATTCCTGGAACTTGAAACATATTAATTTTTTCTCAGGCTTTGTTTCTTCATTTATGAATCTTTTTCTGAGTCCTTTGATATTTTATAAATTATATTACTAATTTTTTTCAAAACTTTTTATGATTTAAATCTTATTCTCCTGAGACAATTACTAAGAATAAAGAAAATTTGGAAACAATGATCTATGAAAAACATTTTAAGTCCTTAAAGAAGAAGAAATACAGAAATCTACCACCTATTGCTTTATTGCAGTTACCTACATCTTAAGAGCTTGTACTCAAAAATTAAAATAGTCTGGCTTCATTGTATTTTACCTGTTATTTCTACCTTATCTGTTTATTTCTGTTTGTTTTTTTATTTTTCTTTAGCTGTGAGGCTGTTATAGTCCAGTATCAAAATTATTTTTAATTTACAATTTTAAGCAAACAAGAATCAGAAAATAATTTAGTCAGATACCTGGAAGACTCACAGAAATATATTTAACATACTTCCTAGAACTTTAATTTTAAAAATGAAGCATTTATGTGAATGTTATGATATTCACAATATTATTTCCTCATCTAAATTCCAAATCCTGTGAATTGTCCTTGATTTACAGAAGTACACTTCTTGATTATTTATGAACATTATTTATATAGTTAAATACAATGACAATGGCAAGCAATCAACTTTACAATAGGTTAAACTCTGGAGAAGATATTTCTAAAAGTCCAATTTTGACAGGCATACATTATCAGGGACAAATGCCAGGCAGAGAATAATTCATGCTTGTACTTATTTTAAAAGAGCAGGAAATAGAACCTTATTGTTACAGAAATTTGTCAGGAGATGCTTGATTTTTATGGATGAGGTAGAAATATAAAACAGGTTAGAAGAGAGCATTTAAAATCTTCAGAGGCAAAAGAAAGAAAGTTTGTGAGCAAAGGGAAAGTTGTGAGCAAAGTCCAGTCAAAGAGCCTGAGAGAAGCCAAGGTGAGACCTGGGCATGCTGGAGGGAAAGGGTTCTTCCAAAGCACTTGACACTGTGCTTGAGGTTATAGAAAACAGTTTAATGAAGAGTAAAGTAAAAATATATCAGAAAGAAAAAAGTATCCTCCCAAGAGCAAAATGAAAGCATTTGAAAATATATTTGGACAAAGTCAAATCCATCCCATATCTATGCCCACTAAATTTCATAGTTCACTCTGTTAGAGGTGTCTATGTTGCTCAATGAAGTTTAAGCAACGCAAAGTTTTTTTTTTTTTTTTTTTTTTTTTTAATTGACACACAGTTCACTGTCACTAAGGGATATATAAAGCCAGGAAGTACAAATGGCACAGCTCAAGCTCTGATCTTTTCTGAAGATGATCTTTTCTCCACCTATTAATCTTTCTTGGAAATATTCACCTGGAGAGTAAGAATGCTTTCTTTTCTATCATAAGAGGCAAAACTTTGAAATTCAGTCTTTGTTCTTTACAATGTGGTCTTGTGTAATGTACAAAGAACTTTCTCTGAAACTGCTAAACAAAAGAACGCCTTGTGTACAAGTTATCTGTTTAAATAAGAGCCTTTTCCTTTCCTCCTCCATCCAGTCTCAACATGCCACAAAACTGAAATCTAATCATTGCAACAATCGACTGAAGACTCACACTGAGGTTTTAAGAAATGCATCTCACAAATTCATATTACCATAGGCCCCAACAGCATATCGGAAAATTATTAAAAATTATTCAGTTTTTTTTAAGTATCAAAAATAATTACATTTTAAAAATATGATATGCACCACTTTCAGAAATAATCTGTAGATTGTTTGCCAATGTGAATATTTTTGAATGGATATATAAATGATATAGGGGAAAGAAACTCCCAATCCTCTAGATGTACAGTACGAGTTTGAGTTTGTTGTCTCTAAAGCAAAGATAAATTTTAGGAACAATGGAAGTTAAAAGCAGAATACATTTATTGGAGTGAAGAAAATTTCTGCCTGACATAGAGACAAAAGGGGTTCTGAGTGGTCTGTGGAGGGCCCTGCCTTTCCTAGAGAATTTTTTAGAGCAAGTCTAAGGGATGAGGTAGGGGAAAATGAGAAATTGCAAGGCAGACATCAGGTGAGACAAAACTTTGGTCAATCAATAAGATTCCAATCATAATTACTCAGGTAAAAGTGATTGAATGAGGATCAAATGGGGAAAGAAGTCACCTAATAAGCAGGCATGGATACCAAACAGGGGTTTTTGCTATATGGGGTTGGTTTAGTAGCTCTTCTTGACTTCCTTAAGTGCTCAATGACTTTTTAGAAAATCAACCCCTGATGTTTATCTGTAGGAAATATGTGGGTTCATTTGTTTTATCTTTTGTTGATGTTTGACCCAAAGTAGAGGTGTCTGCCTCTCCTACAGTTTCAAGGTATCTTGTCTTTTCTACTGGCTGCTTCAGGAGCTTGGCCTTGTCTGACTGCCTATCATGCAGTTTATTTAATTTAGTTGTCTATAATGTAACCATGCATATAACTGAAAATAGATAATTTAAACTACCTGACAAAGAAATGCTGATTAAGAGAAGTTGTCTAGGTTAATAATATGCATTTTTATTTTACTTGTCCTTTTTTTTTTTTTTTCAACATTAGGAATTTAACTTCTAAGGAATACATGTCTTTAACGTCATCCCAAGGTAAAAGTTCTGGCTCACCAAAAATGGAAAGCATTTTGTTCCTTACAAACTCCAATCGTCCCTGTTT